GACCCCAACCAGGGGCGGGGAAAAACAACAACCCAATTACATACCCTTGAAAGAAATTAAACTTAGAACTCATTGGTCCACAGGCTGATGCTCTAACCAATGAGCAACTGGCCAGGGGGAGGTCAAGTTTTTGTCACACTACAACTGAGGCCCAATTAATAATTTAGGGATTTCATATCAGGAAGCACCAATCTTCCAGCTCAGAATCTTCATCGGAGGTATCTTACCCTAAGATGAGTTCCCAGAAGACTTAAACAAGTGCCATGTGCTGCAGGAAGCTTGCTTCTTTATAGTGTTTAAAATCGCAAAACACGACCTCTGTAACAGGGAAATATCTTACAATACCAGGCTATTGCTTTTAGAGGTAAAAGACATCCCTTTCTTCTTCCACTTTCTATGGAGAACATTACAAATACTGTGTACATTGCCCCAGAGACCAATAGCTAGATGCCATGGGTCCCTTAGAGTAGAGAACAATAAAACAGGCACTATAAAAACATTTCTTAGGCTAACATCCAGATATGAAAGGGGTGGCTCAGAGCTTTGGAACAGGGGAACCACTATTTCACAAAACATGATATTTTTAGATTGCATGAAAAATGAGAAATACATGAAACTGCAGAGGACAGCACAGAGCAGCCACCACAAGTTAGGAGTCTAGGCCACATTTCCGTCATTCATTTCCATCAAGGCCCCTTATTTTGCTCACTTATCTTTGTAATAAAGTTTCTACTTAAGAAAAATGGGCACTTATAGAAAGGTTATCATGCCACATGTTGTCAATTTTTTATAGCAAACTGATATTCTTTTCTCTTGATTTTCTAAACTCAGAAGTTCTTAATTCTTAATTTAGCTGAAAATGTCAGTGGCTAACCTTCATTCCTTGCCTACCTCATATTTGGTCCCTGGGTCTTTCAGCCACATATCTAATCTTTTCAGCCATAATTTTCATTTCTTTGTATTTCTATTCTGTGTTGTAAGATAATTCATCTCTCTGGTCTTCTCGGAGCAATAATTCAGTCCTCAGTAGTAAATACCCTCTTTTGCTTTTCAATTTTTCAATCACAAGTCATTATAGCTTTTAGTTCTGAAAAGTCATCTTTGTGCCCCAAATATACTGCCTTGAGGATTCTCCTTCCTCTTGTCATTAAAGGGCTGTTCTATCTCTCCGGCTGTGGTCACTGCAATCAGAGCCAACAGTACTATTTGTTCAGCTGGCTCCCTCAAGTCCCTGTACACTCTTAAATGTGTGGTGACAACAGCCCCCTCACAGTTCAGAGTCTGGGAAAAGGGAAAAGTGGGTGGTAGGTGACAGAAATATGATTTCTCTGGCCCAAGTGCTCTGGTCAGGCATCTGGATATGAAAATATCTAGCCATACGAGCTGGGGGTGATTGGTGTGCTTTAAATAGACTTAAATCAACTATTCTTTTGATAAAGAAAAGAAGTATCCTTTCTTGAGGGTTTAAAAATCAGATAATAAGTAAACTGTGAAATGTGAAGTCTCACTGATTCCATAACATCACTACTATTTATGTTAAAAAATCATGAAGAGGTGTAAAGTTAAATCACACACATATCTGACTGAGGAGAATATTGTGGCTGATAGGAGAGTCTTATTACATGGATTTCCCATATTTTCTAAAGAAAATTTCAGAGGGCCTGATTAGCTTAAAATTCCAGAAGAAGCAACTTTGCCTAACAAGCTCAACTCCAGCCTTGCTTCAAGAAGGGCTGACCAATCCATGAATGGGTAGGCACATGTGAAGCAGGTGAATGAGTAGGAAAGAAAATGTGAAAATAATAATAATAATAATAATAATAATAATAATAATAATAAAAAGAAGATGTGAGAGAGAAGTTGAGAAAAGAAAGAAAATGAACTATCCAGTCACTCATGAGACCTTGCTCTAGTTCTAGCCCTTGACCTTCAAGACTTTTTATATAGTTTATTTATGTACTATATCTTTCTTTATATAAGTTATCTTGAATACATTTCTATTTCTTGTTATTAATCTCAAACTAAGACCCAAATCCAAGTTAAAGTTATGATAATTTGATCAATTTTATTGTGTCTTTGGTTCTGACTTATTTCCTGATCTTCAGGTTCAAATAGCCAACATTATATTAGAAATCTTCATTCTATAACAAATCATCTTAGACTTAACTGCAACATAATTATTATTTTATTAATTAAAAAAATAGATAAATATATATAAACATGTTATTCTACCAAGTTTCTCAGTAAACACACCAAAATTTACCCAAGTGCTCAGGCCAAAACCCTTGTGGTCATTTCTTTTTTAATCCTCACCTGAGGAAATGTTTACCTAAGCCAGAGCCTTCTGCTGAATACAAATAGTGAGAGCAAAAATTAAACCTTTGCTGTTCTATAGCACTGAGGTTTGGGGGTTGGTTGTAACTGCAGTATAAGCTAGCCTACCTTAAAACAACCCCCAAATCATGTTGGCTCTGTTGTCAAAATACATTTCAAACCTAATGCTGTCACCTCCTCTTCCACCGTCACCACATTCTAAAGAACCCTCATCTCTTGCTTGGATTTACTACAGAAGCTTCTTAATCGGTCTTCCCTTATCAACTCTGGTATCTCTGAAATTCATTCGTTCTCCAAGCAGCAGCCAGACTTTTTGTCATTTTAAGGTGAATCCAATTATGCCATTCCTTGCCCAAATCCTCAACAAATTCCATTTAGACTTAGAATAAAAATAAAATTCTTCCCATGAACCTCATGCTCTATGATCTGACCCTCAGCTATTTGTCCAAATTTGTCTTCTGTCATTCTTTTCTCTCTCTGCTTCAACCACACCATCTTTCTTACTATTGCTTGCAAACAGTAGAACTCATTCTATTCTCAAGGGGTTTCTCTTGCTGTTCCCCAAGAGAAATATTCTATCTCAAGATCTCAGTGAGGCTTGGCTTGCTCCTTCACATCATACAAATCTTGTTTCAAGATTACGTCCTCAGAGTAGTTTCTACATTATCTAAAATTACATCCCCCATTAACTAACTATCCAATTACCTGTTTTACTTTGTAAAGTTGTCTTTGAATTATCTTATTTCTTCATTTGTTATTTATATTTCTCTTTTCTTAGACTTTGAACATCATGAGGAAAAAAGTGTGGTTTTTTTTCCCCATGTTCTGTACTTAGTATCTAGAAAAGTTTCTTCTGCTTAGTGCAATTTAATAAGTATTTATCAAATGAGCAAATAAATAAATAGCTTAAACAATCAGGCTGGAAAAACAATACTGCAATGAAGAGACAACTGAATAAAAAGTAATACTCTTTCATAAATCTTTAACCTAGTTTGTTTGCTCTTTAACAGAGCAAAAAATAAATCGAAACATTGCTAATCAATTTTAATAGCTTTTATCTATGTCTTACCAACCTGACTTGTTTAAGTTAACTTGTTGAAATTAGCCAATCCATATTAAAATAAAAAAAGCCTTTAAAAAGAGAATTAGCATGGCATATGTTTAAAGTTATAATGGCAATAACTGTGTCTTTTAAAACTCAAATCATCTACATATTCTACAAACCCAAGAAATAAGCAAGAAAAGGATATGAAAATGAAAGAACTGACTCAAAGACAAAGTAGACTAGTATGGAAATTACAGCAAAATCATGAAGTATGAAATGCTGAGCTAACGAATGTCTGTAGGAAATAACTTTCTGAATAGTTAACTAGAAGGAATCCATCAGTAGAACTTATCAATGAGCTATAAATGGGACCAACATATTTGCTCTTTATTGTCAACTCCTCGATGTTTTGTGTGGTTATGAGTACTTCCATCACATGCCAAAGTTGATACATGTGAATTTCCTTTGGTGGGAATATCCTATTAGTTTAGTGGAAATAATAGATTTGCACCAATACACTAGTTCATTAATCAATTTTTACTCATGAAACCCTCTATACTATGGCAAAGCAGATGATCCAGGTGAAGAGCCTTTACTATGGCCAAGAGATATTATTAAAGACGCCAGCTTTTAAAGGGGTTAAAAGTCATCCCCTTGCCTCAGGAACATTCCAAGGAAGAATGAATGTGGGAGTCGGGTTGACTCAGGCTCCTGTCTCTGTGACTCTGAGGGTTTAAGCACGTCATTTAACTTTTTGAATCTAGATGAAGATATGGAAAACAATACCTATTCTAAATTTTTCATATGATTGTCATGAAAATAATATTTGTCAAAGATATGTTTTGCTAACTGGCTATTTCAGATTTTTTATTCTGCTTCTTTGAAGTTATTAAAATTATCCTCTAAATTAGAGTTGTCGTATGTATACCTTTCAAAGTAGGAGGAGAAGAAAGAGCAAGCAGCAAAATACAGATGTTTGCTATTTGGTCTTCACATCTATTTGAGATAGCAATATCTATATCCATTTAAGAAATATTGAAATTACCATAATTAGCAGAAAATAACACTGTTGTTTCTTTAAACACACAAAGGCACCAAGAGCTCTCTCTCATTAGGAAACTCCCATAGTCTATTTCTAAACCCAAACATTTCCAAATAATTTATCCCTTACCCAAGGAAAAAGCTAAATTCATGGTCCATCATAAATGGAACAAAATTTTTATAGCACTCCCATGAATATCGAGGAAGAAAAACAAAATAAGAAGAAAATGCACACGATTGTGTATTGTGTGAAACCTATTTTCTATAATGCTAGTTACCAAACCTCTGGCATCTAACTCTCCACAGTACTATTTAAAGATGTAAAAATGAGATCATTGCTAAATGAATCCAATTACTTTGCCCATATTCACCACCAAAACCAATCAATACAATCCATTCAGTAAACTCTTCACAAGAATACAGTCAATCACCCATGTAACCAGAATGAAGTATGGTCAGCTAGCTTTGGCTCAATGACTAGGTCTGCTTGATATTTACAAAATACATTTCTCTGCTTTTCTTAAATTGAGGTTAAAATGACACCATCTTGAATGTTTGGTGATTGTGCAGTTCTCCCTACCTCATGGTGGTTCTTGGCCAGCCATTCCTTAATGGTGCTGAGGGCAATCACTGCAGCAGGCTCATTTGGAAAACCTAAGTGGAGAGAAGAATAAAAAAATAATGCAAAGATGAAGGCAATAAAGTAGTCAATCATAGTATGATATTGGATTTTTCTCATTTAATCAGTATTCAATTCAACTAATTAGTACTGAGGAAGGCAGGCCTTACTAAGGTACACACAGATGCAAAACTTGTGACCCTGCAAACTGTATGTAAGTTCTTAAAACTTTGTAAATCCATCTATGACCCTGGGACTGTGGATTTGTTTTAAATTCTTCCATCCCGTTCATTTTCCTTAAATGGAGGCTTCAAAATGTAAAAACCTTCAAATTATAAAAACCTGTTAATTAATCAATCAATTAGCTAATTTGTTAAACAAATTATTGAGCCAGTGTAGATACATAGGCACTTTTTAAAAAAGTGTTCCTGTCTTCTAAAGCCCAAAGTCTGGAGAAAGAAATTGATAAGAGTTAACAGCAACAAAGTATGCCGAGTGTAATAGGGAGATGGGGACACAGATGATGAGAACTAAGAAAGAAAAGGGAGGAAACAGTAAAGTGTTTAGGGAAGGCAATTATAATGTGGAGAGCAGAGGAGATGTTGTCCTCAGGAGTAAGCTCATGGAGCCCTGGCCAGATAGTTAGCTCAGTTGGTTGGAGCATCATCCCAATATGGCAAGGTTACAGGTTTAACCCCTAGTTAGGGCATATACAAGAATCAAGCAATGAATGCATAAGTGGAACAACAATTCAATGTTTCTCTGTCTCTCTCTTAAGTCAATAATATTTTTAAAAATTAAAATACAAAGATGTAAGCTTACGAGCAGAAAGGAATTCATGGAAACGATGAGGAACAGTGAAGGGGAGAGAAAGCAGGAGGAGTACTTGTGGGCTGCAAAGACACAGAAGGGGCCAGGATGGGCATTTGTGGTTAATGGTTAAGCACAGGAGGATTTTTCAATTCACATTCCCCTGAGTTTAACACCTAAATTTGTAATCACCTGGATACCTCCCCTACATGTGCTCCAGAACCAGAAATGTAATGTGTATTCTTCTGCAAAATGAACCACTTCCTGACTTTCCAGTTTCAGCCTATGGCTTTATTTATCTACTAGTCACTACAGCATATGACTGTCCTTCCTGTTGGTAACTGAGTCCTCAAAGCACTGTCCTCTGAAATATTTTACACCATCCCTTCCTTACCTTCTTTTCTAATTGATCTCATTCAAGATCTAATCTGCCTCATTCTGACAATTGTATTCAAGTCATAATTGTGCTCCTTTGGTCTTCTCTCCTTCTCCAATCTACCTAGCACACCCATAGCAAATGATTCTTCCTATAGTAACCACAAGCTTATACCAAACAATGTCAGGCCTTGATGACTCTCCAGTTCCTACAGAGTGAACTTTCTCTTGGCTTGGCATTATACATCCTGAGGTACCTCTTCAGACTTATACCTTAGTTTTCTTTCTTTATTCTCTTCCTCTGAAAAGTATTCTCTATCTTTTTAATATGTTTAAGAGGTACTTAAATCATAAAACTATAGGGCTCTATAAAGCTAATAAATACTGTAATCATGCTCAGTTTCAATGGCCATTAGCATTAACTTTTAAAAGACATAATTCCCCACAGAGAAATTATACAAGATCTTACAGAACCATAGCAACAATGGTCAGTTCTCACCTGTGACTTCCTGATCATTCCTCACATTCATCAAAGGCTCTGGCACTGAGTTATGGTTTTCTCCACCTCAAGGTTTGTCATGATCCTTGGGTGATTTCAGCATCCTAGACATAACCCACACAACCTCAACTTTCACTCCACCTCCTCCCCAGATCACAACGGACTTTCTTTCTGTACTTTGAAAGTGGCATGTTTCCTTTTGCCTTCTTGCCCAAAGGCTTTGCTCATGTTGTTTCTTCTTCCTGAAATGACAATCCTGTTCTCTTTTCCTAACTCATTTTAACTTTCTTTTTTTTTTTTTTTATCCTCACCCGAGGACATTTTTCCATTTTCTGTTCAGGTAGAGTAGGAGGGGGAGAGAGAAACAGAGAGAGAGAAACATCGACGTGAAGGGACACATCGAGTGGCTGCCACCCACACGACTGACCAGAGCTGGGGACAAACTGCAACCGAGGTACATGCCCTTAGCGGGAACCGAACCCGGGTCTCTCGGGACCGCAGGCCGACGCTCTAACCGCTGAGCCAAACCGGCCAGGGCTCATTTTAACTTTCATTTGTTCTCTGTTCAGTCCTTCTCCAGAGAAGGCTTCTCTGACACTGATTACTCCCTATTTTGTGCTTTTTTAACACCATGTATCTTTCTCTCACAGAACTCATTCTACTTGCAATTTTACACTTATCTATGTAAATATTTAATTAATAATATTAATAGAGTGAAAGCCCTGAGGAGGCAGATACCACACTTAATTTTGTTTGTCACTGTATCTTAAAACATTGCTGGCACAAAGAAGATGATAGATAAATATGTATTGAATGAGTGAATGGATTGTGGACTTGTAAATCTTTGTATTGATACCAGGAAAGGCTGTGCTGGAACAAGGTTGTTTAGCCCTGGAGTATAGGGAGAGTGAAGGGATTCTGAGAAGATGTCCAAGCAGAATGACATATCCACATTATCTTATTTCATCCCTAAGAAACACTATTGAAAAGATGCATAAGATAAAACATAGTTTCTTCTCAGAAGATATGTTGTAATTAATTAAAAGGGGAGAAAAATATCAAGACAATTATCTCTGAACAATATGCCATATAGACAAGATAAGGTAAGATGTGCAGAGTAAACAGCAATAGCACAGTCCTTTGTCTGATTAACTCCAAAACACCATGTGTTACAAGTAAAACCAATGAATAGACAAGAACAGATTTTGCCAAGGAATGGGCTCCTGATGACAGTTAGTCCTGCCTCAGGAGGTCACAACTGTCTTCTGCTCATCAAGGGACTTTTGCTCACAAAAGCCGAATGGCCACCCAGAGGGAAGGCAGCAGACAAGATTCAGATGTGCTATTAAATTAGATTGCGTAGAAAATCTCTCGCAAGTATGAGGACCTATGAGGCTGAACAAATCATTAATAATTTGGGGCCAGGAATACAGGGAGTTGTGTGTGTGTGTGTCCAAATGTGTATAGAATCTGTGCTTCTCCTGGCATTCCAAAGCTTAGTTCCTTATTCATTAGATTATTAAAATTAACTTTTGTTGTAAATATCAAAGTTGACTTATACAATACATAAATAATTTTTATTTACTTTTGTATTGAAATTGCTTGCTAAACTTAGCGCACATATACACACACACAGACATATACATATTTATATGCATACTTACATGTAACCATTACCAAAATCAAGATATAAAACATTTTCAACAATCTCAGAGAGCTGCCTTGTCTGGAGTCAATATCTACACCCTGAAGGAAATGCTATTGTCTCCTCTATTGTCACAGGTTAGTTTTGTCTTTTTTACACTTCTTATACAGAGAGATATAATACATATTTTGTCTATATTTTGTTCAACATTATGCCTGCCTGATGAATCTGTGTTGTTACATACAACAAAAACTCATTCATTTTCATTGTAGTGATGCATTCCATCATATGCATGTACCACAGTGTATCCATTTTAGTATTGATGGACAATTGGGTCGGCTCCCATTTGAAGCTGTGATCACTGAAGCTGCTATGAACACTCTCATGCATGACATTTGATAGACATAAGCATTTGTTTCTGTTAAGATTGCAACCAGGAGTTGGAGCTACTGGTCCACTGGTTGTGCAGATGTTGAGTTGAACGCTGGTAGATTCTGCCAAGGTTTTCCAAAGGAGCTGCACGATTTACACTCCCACCAAAAGTATATAAAAGTTTAAAATATGTATTTATCTATCTATTTAGTTAGTTAACATGTCAAGAGGTACTTGCTGATTTTATTTTCTTGACCACATTTAAAGTCATTACACATAGGTTTAGGCTAATCAATATTTTTATAGCTGAAAGCTCTGATGCATTTTATAACTTGCCTGTTTTCTCCCTACACTTTATGAATACTTAACCAGGGAAAATAAATTTTGTCAACAGAACATAAAAACAATTTAAACAAAAGAGGGAAAACTGAAGTAGCAAGTGGAGTTTGCAATGGTTTTCATTCATGGTACATCAAATAATTTATTAGACATTTTTCTTGCACTCAGTTAGTAAGCAGATATTTCCTTTTCAATCAAATTGCAGAAAGAGATAGCACTAGATTCACTGAAGGCTCTACCCAGCCCTGAACTATTTGTCTGTTGAAATCATTGAAAACCAGAATGTTTTCAATAAAATGAAGAGTAAATCTGGTTTTGACCTTGCCACAAACAATATTCCTCTCTAGCTTTCTTTTTTGTTGTTGTTGTTTGCTGTTGTGGATAATCCCCCAATATCTTTCACTTAGTTCCTAGGCTTCCATGTAGAAACTAATTTTGTTCTCCTGACAAAGAACTCAAATGTGCTCTACTAAAAATTTAGCCTATTCTACTAAAATAAAGACAGATATAATTAACTCTATCAGTAAAACTGCCTTTTTTAGAGGTAGAAGTGAGGGGTCAACTTTTGTTTTAAACTTAAAATGAGGGTCTGCTTATAGTTATAGATTACCATATGATAGAGAGGCATATGGTAATGACTTAAATCAATTATTTCAAAGACATTCTTACCACAAAATAGTCATATTGAACAGAATACCAGGTAAATTAAGCCATGCTTTAAAATGTTAACCTCATACCATTTACAGTCTACCTAGGGCCTCTCTCTCTCTCTTGCTTTTACTTCCAATACTTCCCTCCAGCCCAGTTACCAGAAGTTACCTCTGCTTTAAGTATAGATGCCTTTCTAGCAGTTGTAAGAAAAAAGCAATCTAGAGATTAATGTCAAGGCAAAGCTCACAAATGTAGAAAGGATTCTTTATGCACTTAATCAGTTTATTTTAAGGTGCACAATTTCTTTTGTAGTGGTTTTCACTGCAAATGGTGTTTAGTCCATA